TGAATTCAACACCGACCGCCAATGGTTCCAAGCATCACTCGGCTGTCTTGCGAGTCGGGCCTTGGCCAATACCATCCCAATTCTTGCTCCCTCGTGAAACTAAGGGAGCAGGCCTGTATCTTGAATTTGTCTTTAGTAGGCGGTCCTACACAGTCCAACGGCGAGACAAGCGGCACTCATCCAAATTTGTTTCCTCCTCCAGTTGTGCATATTCCAATCTTGGTCGCCTACCAGAGCTCTACTGATCTTAAGAAGCGCACAGGGCTAATGAATCAAAAGATCAGCATATGGCTCCCGTCCTCCTCTAGACAGAGACGTAAACTCTTTTAACATGATCAGCTTGGATGCCGCTAGCAAAAGGTCGTTGCCAAATAGCACTGTAAGTAATGTACCACGAAACGAATTGCAGATTCTAAAGCCTTGTCAATCACTGAATCTAGGGACCTTCAATGTGGGGACCCTGATGCAGGTAGGTCAACAAGCTTATCTGGCGCGTACACTGGAATCCTTAGGGATCGATATCCGGTGCATTTCGTGAACTCGAATCCAGGATCCTACTACTATAAGCCACTTGAGCGCGCCAGATTTGTTCTCGAGGTACGTTCTTCGCACATCAGGTAACGATGAAGCCCGTTCAGTTATCGTACTCAGTAACAGGGCTGAGTCCTTTCTTATCGATTGGGTCCCCGTCAATAGTCGTTTATATGCAGTGCGCCTCCAGAGTTTAATCAGCGTTCGGAAGGGAAGCAACACCAAAAGGTGTTTGTTAATCGTATCGGCATACGCACCGACCAGTTGCAGTTGTGATACGCTTTCTACGATGAATTCACCGATATCATTCGTATGAGTCGAAGCTCCGGTATAGTTGCATTTGCCGGTGACTTCAACGCGCAGGTTGGAAAACTGAGCGCATCCGAAGCTTGCCTAGGCGGTAGTTGTGCTCTTCCCTGCCAACGAACAGATAACGGCGATCGACTTCCTCCGTTCTGTGCAGACCATCATCTGTTCCTATCCAGCACCAACTTCCGACACAGCTCTCGACGGACGTGGTGCTCCAGTTCAACTGGTACACTAACTCAAATCAACCACATAGCAGTGCTCAGCGCAAAATTACAGGTCCTATTGGCCCAGCTGCATTGAGTTTGCCCACGCATTTTTTTTGGTGCATCTCACTCTCCGACCCACTGATCAGCGACAAAACCAGCAAGCTTGGATAGCTCATCATCGACTGTCTATTCCAGAAGTTCGTGTGCGCTATGAATCAGAGCTAATGCGTGGACTAAGCACCCCTTAACGTGATGATGTAGGTGCGCAATTAGATCGGATTAGGCGGGTAGTGCATTCCGCAGCGAATGTTTTTTGTGGGTCTGAGCCTCAAGCCCTCTCGGAGACATTGGATATCTCAGGAGTTAATAGTTTTGATGGAGAAAAAAGTTCCGACCTGTTAGGATCAAAACACAGTTAGGTGGCATCTGGATCAGCTTACGAAGAGCCTCAAGAAGGACCGTGAGAACTGGTGGGTAACAATAGCTATTTACATGGAAATAGCAGCTGCATCAGGGAAGAGTCAAAGACTGTTCCGACTGATACGCAATACGGGAGGTCACCGAACTCCAGTTATTGAAATGGTTCGCGTTAAGGTGGGACAAGCTAGTCACAATGAAGGTGAACAACTTGACCTCTGGGCAGAATACTTCAGCGAACAGTTCAGCTAATCAGGTTGCTTCATCTGCAACTGAAGCTCCGTGGGTTATGTGATGCAAGCCTCCAGCAGAAACAGTCTGGCATCAGACGTGTGTGATATATATATATATATATATATACCAGCAGAAACAGAAGTTCGATCTTGCATTTAAGCTCTGGAACGAGGAAAGGCAACAGGACCAGATGAGCTGCCTCCCACTGTTTTCAAGATGGGGAGGGGGTGATAACCTCGTAAGCTCTGTTACTACCCTACTGTGCAACATTTGAAAGCAAGAGAAAATTCCTTTATCTTAGAGCGAATTACTGATTGTTCCCATTTTACAGAAAGGATCTCGCAACGATCGCGAAACCACCGCTGGATAAGTTTGATCTCGGTCGTCATCAAAGTGCTAGCATCGGTCATACTTCGACGTCTTACGCCTTTAAGAGACACCAACATCCGTGAACAGCAAGCCGGATTCCGGATGTATTGATCAAACTTTTACGTTGCGCTAGGTCCTTGAGCTGCGTTGCACCCACCGTCGACCAACGATCACAGTGTTCCTTAACCTGAAAGGAGCCTTCTACTCAGTTGACCGCGAAGCTCTGATGGGTTCCCTTCGAAAAGGAATACCCCAGAAGTAAGTTAACCTACTGAGGTCACTGTACTCACATACCTCTGTTCGTGTAAGGGTTTACAACGAGCCAAGTAAGCCATTCGTCACCAACAGCGGCGCTCGTCAAGGGTGCGCTCTTTCGCCGTAGACGAAATACTGGAGAAGACACTAGATGAACCCTAAAAGCGATTTGGAGTACGCCGATGATATCGTCTGTCTGTTCGAATGTTTGGAGGACGCGCAAAGCACAGTTGATAGACTAACAAAATCTGTTGCCACATTCGGTATGTGCTTTGCACCTTCAAAGTGCAAAGTGGTGCTGCAGGACTGGGTTTCGTCTACTCCCGCTCTGAAAATAAATGACCAGAAATTAGTTGTGATGAATTACTTTTCATACTTTGGTAGTTGCGTGACCAATGACTGTATAGCAGCAAAGGAGATAATCGCCCGCATTTCCAAGGCTTAAGCAGCATTCGCAGGACTGAATCACCTTTGGCGTAGACGCGACGTTTCACTAAAGTTGAAAGGTCGTGTATGCAGTGCAACTGTTCGTTCAGTTCTGCTTTATGGTTGTGAGACCTTGAATTTGTGAGGAGGTATCCATTGACTAGAAGCTTTCGATTGTCGGTGTTTGCTTAGTTTGGCGCGGGTTAGATGGAGCAAGCGTGTAAGCAACTCTGAGGTAAGTCATCGCATCTTTGATAATGATTCGATGGAGAATTACTTGTCCCATCGAATTCAGATGAATCGGCTTCGTATTGCGCATGCCCAGTCATCGTCTGCCGCGTTGCGCCTTATTCGCAGTTGCGGTTCCAGGTTGGAATAAGCCGCGTGGAGGTCAACAGATGGCGTGGAGACGAGGCACAGAGCGATTGGGTAGAATAGGTGTTTCCCGTCTTCCAGGTTGAGGTCTGAAAGACTCTGCAACTGGCTGATGGGAGGCACTGTAGGATATGGTGACTAACCGACAGCAGTGGCGTTCTAGTCTTATCATGGCAGAATGCTTGAAATGGTGTGTATATAGAGTTCGATTGTGTACTCTGTGTTAACCACAAAGGTTCACTTTCTTTACCTCCCTCGAATTAGGCCCAACTCTATCCACCTCGTGCTTTATCATTTGATTTGTATGCATTGTGAGCTTGGCAGCGATCAGTGAAGTTCGCTTCATTGTATCTCACTGTACCATGATGATGCTGATATTTAAAGATGGAATGAAGCTTGTTAGAGAACTACAGGTTCTATTCTCTAAAGTTTGGAACATTCAGCAGGTCCCCTCGTGAGGGTAATCGATTGTCGTCCCCATCGTCGAAGAGGGCCTGTTCAATGACTGCGCCAATCATAGGGTATAAGCCTTATTCCAATAGCGTCAAAGCTGTTGGCGTCCGTCATTCTCTGCCGATTGTGCACTACGTATGAGGAGGAAACCCGCGAGGAACAGGCTGGGTTTCGCGCCGGTCGTGTATACATCGATCAAATCACCCCCGACAGCTGCTAGAGCACCGTCATGTCTACCAAAGACCTACGATCATTGTACTCCTAGACATCCGCGCGGCCTTCGACTCTGTCGATAGGACCCCACTATGAAACTGTTTGTTGAGGAATGGAGTACTAGAGAAGTGTGTCGATCCTCAAAGAGTTGTATCGTCATACCTCAGGTCGGTTTAGGGCCTATGGCCACTTTTCGCCATCTCCAGTGGAGTTCGACAAGGCTGATCTATATCCCCATTCATTTTAAACTTTGTCATAGAGGATGTTCCACAGAATGATTTGTCCGGTCTAGCGGACGGTGGAGTTGAACTGCTCCTTGAGAACAAAGTTCTTGACTTAGAATATACCGATAACATTGCCTTGCTTGGTGACAACACACAGGCAGTCCAATAGGCTTTAAACCGCTTGGCGATCGAGATATACAGGTATGGTATGTGCTTTGCGTCGTCCAGACGCAAAGTGCTTGTTCAAGACTGACAGGAGCCTGTGCCTGCTCTCACCCCCTGTGGTGATCGGCTGCAAATGGTCGAGAGCTTTAAGTACCTCGGGAGCTTGGTCGAGCTGGTGTTAGTGTTGGAGAGGAGATCACATCATGAATAACGAAAGCTAGAGCATCCTTCGCCAACCTGTGACACCTGTGGCGCCACCATGACATCCGACTGTCTCTTAAGAGAAGGGTGTACATTGCCGCGGTTCGTAGTGTTTTCCTTTACGGTTGCGAGACCTGGCCCATCCTCGTTTACGATGCTAATCGACTTCTTGTATTTGACCACCCACGTCTCCGAAGCATTGCTCGTGTCTGGTGGGAACACCGGGTGAGTAACAACGTGGTTCGTCGTCCTGTGCTTGGTGTGGGTAGTAGTTCTCTAACAGAATTAATCGCTCTACATCGCCTCCGATGGCTTGGTCACGCTTTGCGTATATCTACCTTTTGACATATATATATATACACTACAATTCCGGTCAAGATTGGACTAGCCGAAGGTTCCCATTGTGAATAGCCAAAGAAAATCCCATGCTTTGGTTCGAACAGTTCGGTATCAATGCGCTGACGAGAAAAAAGTTTCTTGTACTAGACTTTGTCTGACGCGGCATGGATCCAGACAAGTGTGAAATATAATATAATTATATCTGTGTTCACCGCCGCCACACCAGTATTGTTTTCCTTTCCCTAACTATCTTATTTTCCTATTGCCAGAATTCCCTGGAACAATGTCTGGAAATCTGCTAGCTGATATTCGAGCATGGACAGCAAACGAATTTCCCGGTTTCGTTTCTTGCGTGAACAAATTAACTCAGCTGAATGAACCCAATGCTCGAGAATCGGTTGATTTGATCCGCACGCTGCGAGAGCGTTTGCATCTGCTTCCGGACCATCTTATTCGCCAACTGTTCGAGCCCATGAATGATCTGGGCTCATGGATTAACTGTGAGAAAACTGTGGCCAAAGAAGTGACGCAATTGTTGGTCTCGATAGCAGTCCACTTTAACAGCATTTCGCAGGATGTGATTGACGCGTTTGTTTTGTTTTTGTTTAACAAAACAGATCCAATGTCCGATCGGCCGGATCACGATGAGATGTTGGTTGTTCAGTTTTTTCAACAACTGATGAAAATCGCTCCCCAATCTGAACGTTTCGTAACTGAGCGAATTTTGAACAAGTTTCCTGGTTGGCGAAAACCTTTGATCGATATTCTGTGGCCCATGTTGAACAGTTTATATTTATTTTGTTCACCGAGCACTTCATCATTTTTCTCCATCGCAAGCAAATCAGCTCTCTTTTCCCAACTGTGCAAATTGTTGATTGATTTAGAATTCAACTTGCAAGACCACCCAGGAGAGCTGCTTTCGTTCGTCACGTCGATTGAACCACTCATCGATTACGACAATTTTCAGTCCATGCGTGCAACTATATGCGAGTTTCTAACGTCCGAAACGGTATCTTCAACCATTGATAGGAACAATACTAACGACTGGGTAAAGCTCGATCTACTGACTTGGCTTCTGTCATCTCATCTGCCTGTTCTCTGCGCCGCTACTGATCCAAAACAGAAACTGGACTGGCCATTGTTGTGTGCTGTGTTCAAACAGATGCGCGGATTGTTTGCACAACACGTGCTACCCGTCAGTAGTTCATCGTTGAACGCGTTCCCTTTGATATGTTCCTTCACAACCACTTTACGCGGGGGATTGATGGTCAGTTTTGCCGAGTTTTTATGGACTTCCGTGAAAGATGAACACAAAGACATCGGTAGTCGCACACACGCATTATCGTTTCTTACCTTTCTCATGGCCCGAACTAACGCATGCTTTTTAGATCTAGTGGTCGAGCTGTTGCACGAGATGACCGGCTGGTGTGTGGATTATGTATACAAAAATCGTAACCGATTTTCGCACACGAAAGTGTCCGATTTGGTTCGAACCAACTCTGTGTATTATGCAGTCTGTGATTCTCTGTTCTACACCTTGGTTCAACTGCATGCTTCTCTATTCGATTCTACCTACTACCGATCGAGCTGTGATCGTCTACCGCTTGCACAGATTATTCTCTCACCTTTGGATCCTTTGTCACACATGAAATCAAATTTGCGCATGGCTATCTCAATGCTGGTCTCCGCTTACAATTTTGGCTGGGGCATGATAGCAGTGGGATTGGAACAGAATTCGGGCACTCATTTGACTGTGGAACACTTGCAACAGTTGGAACCGAGCAACTTTTTTACACTGCCTTTTACCCCATTTCCGTTTCGGTTCAGTCAGCCTATCCTCTCCCGATTGGTTCGGCCTTATTCTCTTGGCAAGCCAATTCAGGCTGTCACAGACTCCTCTTCTGAGAGCGAATTGCCGGCGCGCAAGCGTCGGAAAGTACCGAACGGAGCAACACAGGGCCTGGATGTTACCAAACTTTCCCGCATCATCAACGGTACCTGAGATTCGTGTTAGTGTATGTATAGATTCTGTTGTTTTATTATCTCTTCAATCAACAGCTGATCTTTCTTATTTACTTGGACGGGTATACTGGCCTTTGATAACAGCATGCTTCTGTGAGTTGCGTGAATAAACTTTGCACTAGTGGGATAATTCCATTCAATGGTCCCGGTAGCTTGATGGCTTTCAAATGTAACTGAAAGTACGGTACATGAAAGCAGTTGGACTCGACAGACAGTAACGAAGTTTTTCAACTGTGGGGGGCGGTCATAGAACCATGCCAACATTGAACGCACTTGTTGATGCTGTTTATGGAGGGTGATATGATGTCACAAAGGTTGAACACATGTGGCTGCGACGTGATGTTTCATCGAATTTGAAAAGTCGCGCATATTGCACCATTGTACGATCAGCTCTGCTCTACGGTTGTGAAACCTTGAATTTGTGAATAAAAGACATCCTCCACCCAGCGGTTTTCGAGAATCGGTGCTTACGTAGTCTGGCCGAGGTGGGATGGAGTGAGCGGATTGGAAACCTAGATGAAAGTCATTGGGTGTTTGGGAATGCATCGAACAAGAACTCGCTATCGCATCAAATGCAGCTCAATAGGCTCCGTTGGTAAGGACACGTTCTGCATATATCTGACGGTCGCCTACCGCACCGCGTTTTAATTGCAATGGCCACTCCCAACTGGAGGAAACCACGTAGGAGTCAGATGACGTGGACACGAGGCGTGAAGAAATGCACAGAACGGTTGGGTAGGGTAGGTTTCTCTGGTCTTCCGGGTTGGTTTAAAATACTCCGTAACTGAATGATCTGAGACACTGGTGATAGCACGGACAACAGTGGCGATCTTGCTGTCAGTTCTTATCCGACTAGAATTCTAGAAACGCACAGTCAAACGGTGTACTGCTTTGTTGACCATAGAGATTCGCCTTCTTTCCCACATCCCTAAAATTAGGTCCAATCCCTATCTTCTTTACACATTCTCACTAACCTTGTACACATTCTGAGTTTGGCAGTGATCAGTGAAGTTCGCTTCACTGTATTACGCTGAACGATTATGAGGATGATGATGATGTATTCAATTATTCATCTGAAGTCCCAGGGGATAAATCAAAAGCACTTTCTCTCGTAACGTGCCGGAATAGCGAAGTTAAAACCCCTTATATCCGTCCAATATATCTGGGATGGTTTTGCTGTTTCTGTTCATATTATTATTATATTCTCAGAAAACGTGAGACAGGATCGAGGAAGGGAAGCAGATGTAGACTAACTAGACAAGGGTTTCAAGACTATGACAGACTGATAAGCCTTGCTCAGTTGTTCGATTATTCGAGAACACGGAGACGAAAAAGCGAAATGAATCGGCCTCAAAAGATGAAACCCGATTAACAGAAGAATAGAAGCAATCATCAGAGGTATTTCTTAATAATAATCTACATACTCGGAAAAGTGTGTGGGTGGTTTGCTTCGCAGATATAAGCTTACCGGGTTCTTCTCAAAAAGCTCACAAATTATTCATTACATCTCACCTGATGGACTCATCGCGGATGAAGTGTCAGCTCGCATACAAAAGGCTCGGTTCGCATTTGCTAACATGAGACATCTGCGGCGCCGTCGCGATGTCCGATTTGTTGTGAAGGGTGGAGAAAACAGGACAAAGATAGACTGTCGGTGTTTGAACACTGCTGTCTACGCAGCATTGCATGAATCTGGTGGGGCAGCTGGACCAGCAATATTGAGGTTAAGCGTAGAGATTTAGGCATCTGCAGTCGTCCACTGGAGCAAGTGATCGACCTGCATAGATTACGCTGGTAGGGGCATGTGTTACGCATATCACCAGATAGGTTGCCACGCAGGGCGATGTTCGCCGAGGCAAGTAGTGGGTGGAATAAAGCCAAGGGTGGTCAAGCTAAGACCTGGCACGACGGTATGAAAACCCTGACCAGGGGACTGGGTCACCTTGGTCCCGTTAGGCTCCCTGGCCGAGGACCTCGCAATGATCGCAACCGATGGTTAGGGACACTGAGTGATATGGCTGGGTGCCGCAAGCAGTGAGGTTCGTGCATCCATTCATTACTCCCCTATCACTATTCGGTATGAATTCTCCATCTTCCGCTTCAATTTGCTTTCAACACTCCAATCTTCATTATGCTATCTTATAAAAAAAACAGCAACCAAAAGCGGCGCACGAAGGTGCGTACTTGATGGTTGCAAAGACTGAACTGAACTGAACGCACCGCTCTACTGCCTTGCGGTTTAGACTTCGAATAGCCAAAGGCTAGAGAATTCACTTATTTGGCCTGGATCACCTAGCAATATCGT